GAAAGCCATAGTGTAATACAACAATCTGCTAAGTATTTTAGTACCCAGCAAATAATGGATTTGTTCCCAAATTACTCTGTGAACATAGAGCCTGAAGATGTGTGACGATGAGTATATTATTTGATCTCAGTTTCGGCAGTGGCTGTATTACTTCTCCTAGGCTTTGTCTTTTAGGGTCCTATATATCTCTGCCTCGATATTCTGTTTCCCATTATTCTTATTGCGTCCATTGAGGGGGTACAATTGGAGTCAAAGAGGTTTCAGTAGCATTGGCTACTATGGACAACATGATAAAAGGTGTTTCTGGCTATAGATAACTAGATACAATCCTAATGTGGATATCTTTAGGCTCTAGAATCTAACCTCAAGAATAGGAAGTGAAGATACAAAGATGTGTGATGAAGGATAATTTGTATTTTCTGAGACTGTGAGGCTTTTCTTGTTAATAACCTCAATTGTTAATGGTGAAGGTTTAAGCTATAATGTGCTTCATTGATTTCCTCTGTCCCTTGTGATGTTTTACTAGAACTGTTAATTTGTTCATTATACTAGTATTTGTAGAAAGATGTTTTGTATTTTAATGTATCATGATAATAGTACCAGTTTGGCTGATTGGTTTATAGGTTTAAGTACAGATAAATAAAATACCCACTTAAAAAAAAAAAGAAATAATCAGTCACCTGGACTTTATAGAAATTGTCGTTGGTGGGCATGTAATCTAGTAATTAGTGACAAAAAGGTCACCATCACCTGATGAGCTGGATGAAGTCAAGAATAACTGTATATGGTGAGGAAAACATTTGCATTGTAATTGGAGGCCCTGAAGTAAGAAAGGCTGAAAACCTGAGACCAGTTACTGATCAACCAGCACAGTCCTATCAATCCACTCTACACTCTACACAATCCACTCTACACATGTTCCTTAGGAGGTGTGAGAACAGTCTCTCCCAATGAAGGTTTCCAGGAAACCCTAGAGAGGCATAGCCAGATACAACCAGCCCCATTCTGACAGGTCTGAAGGAGGGGTAAGGTCAAAGAGCATATAAAAATATACCCATCACATGACATGCTGAGGTTACTGAAGGCTAAAGGGAGGGGAGGAAAGAAAAACAGGAATATCCAGGCACAGTGACACCAGACCTACTTGGCCCTACAAATAAGGTCTGAGATTCTACCAGGACAGAATTTGGGGGTTTTGCTAGAATTCTTAGGATCTGAAACCTGGGCATTCTGAGATTGCCCATATTTTATTTTAGGCCTAAACTGAAGCAATTTAAGAAGCTGTTCCTCAACCTCAGAGTCTCCTAGTACAGAAATTCTTAGGGTGGAGACCATTGGATGTGGATTGTACAGAGTCTGGTTCCTTACATAACAGGAAGCAGGCTGCTTTATAAGTATGTTCCCATACAAGTTATTGTTTTAACAAGGACATTTTGGGGAGGGAAAAAGAGTGCTATATGAATAATGATGCTGAGGAAAGTAAGTGTAAACCATGATTATCTGGGGCAAACCAGAAAGTATGCTCACCCTACTCAAAGGCACATTCCTAGAACAATCTTTCTTTCTTGGGGGATATTCTTAATCCCTGCCTAACCTATCAAAAACAGCAATTTGTTGTATTTCAATTCAAACATCATTAAGACTCCAGCCTTTACTGTTAACTTACTATTTATCGGGCTTTTTTGCTTAGGACTTTTGCAGGGGAATGAAAAAGTGAAATTCACAATCTCTGCCCTCAAGCTGATTACATCTGGTTAGAGAAGACATGCACATACATACATACAGAGACACACATATGTTGATAAGATGTGAAATAAAAAGGGCTAGGGATGACTCATGATCCAGAGTCAAGCCTGTGACAATGCTTTGAATTTCTCGTTCCTATTCCTCCACCAAATGCCTGGTGTACAGCTTTGCTCACTGCAGAAACACCATCAGAGTTTATGGAGTGATTCAAAGTCTCTGCCCTGTTGGAGGGATTCAGAGCCATTTCCTCTTGCAGGAGAACAAGGTGAAAATTCCCTGTCGGATTGGCTTGGTCTTGACACTATAGATGATGGGGTTGAGCACAGGAGGCACAAAGAGGTAGATGCTAGACATGAGTGTGTGCAGCAGGGGTGAGGCATGCTTGGCAGCACGATGCATCACCAACACACCAATCACAGGCACATAGTACAAAAGCACCGCACAGATATGTGACACACACGTGTTGAGGATCTTCCACTGTCCCTCCCCAGAAGCAATGCCCAGCACTGTGTAAAGAATCAGCACATAAGAAACCATGATGAGCAGTGAGTCCAGCCCAAAAGTGGCCAGGACAATGGACAAACCCAGGATGCTACTGAGCTTAGTATCAGCACAAGGCAGCTGGATCAGGTCTGAGTGGAGACAGTAGGAATGGGAGAGGACATTAACATGGCAATAGGGCAGTTGCCTCAAAAAGATTGAAAGTGGGGCCATGAATGTCACACTCTTCAATGTGATTCCCAGACCCATGCAGATGATACAGGACAGGGTTAGAATGGCTGTATATCGCAGTGGATTGTAGATGGCTATCAAGCGGTCATAACTCATGGCCAACAAGACCCTTGACTCCATGCCGGAGAAGGTGTGGATGAAGAACTGAGCCAGGCAGCCATCAAAGTCAATCTGGCGGGCATCAAACCAAAGAATACCCATGACAGTGGGCAGTGCAGACACAGAAACACCAACCTCAGTCACAGCTAGCATGGAGAGGAACAGGTACATGGGCTCATGTAGAGCAGTGTCCTCATGCACTGTTGCCATGATTAGGCTGTTACCCACAATGGCCACAATATACATAGTGAAAAAGGGAATGGAAAGCCAGCCATGTTGGGCCTCCAATCCTGGGATGCCAGTTAGGAAGACAGATAGGATGTCAAGACTTTCATTGCTTTCAGCTCCCATGTCACCCACAGCAGAGATAAGTCTTCACCTGACATTTGAAAAAAAAAAACGAAATTAGCTACCTCCTGAAGGTTTTCTGCCTTATCAGCCCACCTGAAAGGCTGAAGGAAGGAGATGGAAGGAAGTGGGGGAAGTTGGAGCCGTCTACATCATTTTGGGTAAAAATATAACAGACACTCTCTTCTCACCTCCTCTTCCTCTGACCTCTAAAATCCTAAAATTTTACATGTAAAGGAGATATTTGAAATGGCCCAATCTTATGAGAGACAACATAGCTTAAAAATTGAGAGCAGAAACACTAGAATAAATCAGACCTGTCAAAATCCATACTCAGCCTATTTACTAGATGTGTGATGTGGGCAACTTATTTATACTCTGATCCAAAGAGGTTTTTGTTTGTTTGTTTGTTTTTGTTTTTTACTTGTAATGTGGAGATAAGAGTAGTAACTTGTATAAGAAACAGAAGCCATCTAAGGGAGAAGAATGGGGAGATGCTGGAGAAGTTGGTCTTCTTTATTTTCACAGGCAATGAAAAGGACAGAATGGCAGATGCACATTTTTTTCCTATGCAGACAGGGGGACAGATGGAAGAGACCAGGAGACCTTCTAAAGTGGCCCCTCTCAGAAGTCCATTGATTCAGTTGCCAACTTGACAGTCTTTCTAGGACCTGAAGCCAGAATCCAATCTTGCACCTATTGATAGAATCCCCTCCACTGCATCCTTAACAAACTGTCACCCACACTCAGTTTGAACACTCCCAAAGATGGAGAGCTCATTGCACCTAACGCCACTATCCTGGTTAGATGCACTGACTTCTACAGTGCTTAAATGTGCTTCTTCCACATTGTATATAACTACTGCAGACGCAGAGAAACAATCTCTTTCAGGTTTCATCTGAATATTATTCTTCATGGTATCTGTTAATTGCTTGCAAAATACATCTTAACTTGCAAACATGTATTAACTTGTGTAATTATTTAATGCCTATATCCCCTATTATACTGTAAACTCCACCAAAATATAGTATTGAGTTTTTTTCATTTATCATTAGACACCCAATACTAGCACAGGGTCAAGCACATAACAATGTTTAGTAAATACTTAACTGGATAGATAAATAAATAATCGAATGGCTAAATTGTACCTGAATGTTCCAATCATAATAATCTGTAATCTTCCCTTCTTCATGCTATGTATCCTAAGTGCCTTTAGCTGCTCAAAGTACCTGATTTTTAATTTCCTTACCACAAGTCCTCCTATCAAGGTGTCTCACAGAGAGTAAATCTAATATGAATAGACAGTGTGATATGTAGCTTATAAAAAATTCATGGATTTTAGTCTTTGTTAACAGAAGTATTTTATTCAGAAGATGTCCTAACACTTACATTTACAATTTGATACTTTTCCCCCGGTTTACATTGTCTTACCTTCTTTGATAATTTTCTTAACTCATACTATATTATTCATATTTAAAATTTTCATTTTAGCTGCACCTTTTCCTAACACTATTTAAACAGAAATAATAACTTTCTCACCTGTGACTTTAAAATATTATGTACAGACTTTTCTGGTTTTGCTAGAATTACATTCATGCCTCTGTCCTTCCTGTCCTACTTTGAGTTCTTTTTAGGGTCAGACTTGTGCCTAGTTCGTTCTTACTTTCCTAGTACGTCACCTAATTCTAACACATAGACATGCTTAAGAAATCATGAATTAATAAAAGCATGAACAGACTGCTCAGGACCATAACTGAAGTGCTTTCAGTTCTGGGTCCCATACTCTAGATTGGAGTTAAACCAGCTGGATCACACTCAAAGGCAAGGGGATCAAGTCATTTAAAGGGCGTGGAAGGAGCCAGTGATGTCTTGAGAAAAGGAGACAGAGAAGAGGTAGAGATGTGTGGGAGTGGGTATAAGAGGTGCTGAGTGATAGGCAGAGATCACATGGAGACAGTCTTGAGCCCAGGCAAGGAAGATTTTCTAAGAGTCAAAGCTGCACAATAGGATGATAATCTTCCAGTCAGTGGAGATGTTCAAGCAAAGACTGAATAATCCTTGATGGGAATACTGGAGGGACAATTCCAGCATCTGCTGAATTGGGATTAAAGGCCCTTTCTGCCTTTTTCAGCTCTCTGCCCTCAGGCCTGATGTCCAGCCTGCCAAGATCTCTCTCATTCTGTGACACTGAGAATATCAGGGCTGTGAATCTATGTGGGGCCCAAGAAAGGTCAGCTCTCAACCCCTGCCATGTGATCATGTGTCTTTCTCTAAACCACTTTCCATCACCCTATCTGAAAGTGTGTGGGAAGACACAGGAACATTTGAATAAACATTACTCTACTGGTAGGAAACCTACATGAAAATAAGATCTGGGGATATTTTTTCTTAAACCTCTCCATCACAGGCCAAACAAACTACAGTGAATACACAGCCCATATGTGCCTTGACAGGGACTCATTCAAAGATACAGAGACATGAGAGACGGGGAGAACCTCAGAGGCACAAATCGAATTGTAGACCAAAATATACTCTTGCACACATACCTGGAGATGCAAACTCACCTGAGAGAGCTTTGTGAAATGGCAGTGAGATTGAAAGAGTGTAGGCCAGAGCTCAGGAGGACATGAAAATAAGCCTTAGGCAGGCAGTAACCAAGAGAGGAGGCAGACTCTATATATCTGAGTGAGAGTCCCCAGGGCCCTGGCCTGGTGTGCCTGAGGGTGATGCTGAGCTGGTGATGGGAAAAGGAGGGGGATCAGATCTCACCTTGGGAACAGAAAGAAAAGAAAAACACATCCCTTAATTACACTTCCCTCTCTCCACACAGAAAATAAAAATCCCAACTCCTTCCCTGTGATGAAGAGAATGAAAACAAATCCCCCCAAGCTCCATGGCAACATCCTCTTGGCCCTCAATTATCCAGTCTTGAAACTGGAGCTCTCAGCCCAGAACCAGGAGTCTACATCCTCAAATTCTGGGCTTAAAACCTATATCTCAGACAGAACCTAAAACTTAGACCCCCCGTGGGCAAACTCCAGGACTGAGAGCACAAGAGAGTTTGGAGCCCAGGATTTAACCAATAAGGGATATGACTGTAGCTGCCTTCATCTACTCATCATAGCTGTTCCCTACTCAATTTTCACTCCCATCCCTTGCACTCAACCCCTCATCAAGCTCCGAGGTCTCCTCCAGGAGAGACATCCCAGGATACTGAAAGACTGTAGGGCTCAAAGTCACACAGATGTAGGTTTGAGTCCTAGTTTTACCATCTACCAGCTTCATGATTTCAAGAGATTAGCATTTCTTCAACTTGGGACCCAATTCATAAGGAAGTTAGTACCTATCTATAAGGGTAGATATTCAAATGAAAAGAAGAAAGTGACAGTTTTAAATGTGATTGTTCCTCACATGATAATTATCATAAGTTCTGCTGGAGTCCCCAATTTTAGATTCCCCTAATAAATTATTTCCCAAATATCTAGACTTCCCACTAAGTATTTCAGTTGACCTCAACCTTGTTCCAGTTTCAAATAGGGTATAGATATATTTAAAGAAGGCATAGCAGGAGAGCTCTCCCCGCCTTTTTTAATCAAGGGGTGGGATACATGGGGAAAGCAAACAGAGGTGGATATAGAGAAAATTCCCCTTTCCCCATGAGGAACTTTGAAGTATCTCAGAGAGGCAGTTTAAGAGACTTCCTGCTTTCCACTATTGTAGAATTGGTTGGGTCAGATGAATGAGTTGGGAACCAGGAAATGCAATTCAAGAAAATGCAGATTACAATTGTGAATAAGGTCAGAGAATCACTGGGGGAAAAAGAGACCTAAAAAATGCAGATTGGGCATAAGCCTCTGGTGAGTAGGGGCAAGACTTTGAGAAGTCATAGAGCCAAGTGACTCTAGCTATGTCATTAGGGACAATATGATGAGGAACATGCCTCAGATCAGATCTGATTTATTCATTTATTTAATTAGTCATTTGGTTGTTCACTGAATTAATATGTACTGGGTATATCAAACACTGTGCTAGGTGCAGTATTTTAGGTTTGACTGTCATTATCTCTTTTTTTGATTTTTGAAAAGTCCTTTTTTAAGACTGTTTCTGTTTCTATTAATTGACAGGAAAAGTCAACAGAAACCCTAAGTACTCGTTTGGAGTGATAATACTAAATATAACATCTGTACAAATCTCAACAAAAGGGACTTATTATAAGTGTTAAAAGTTATCTATGGGGAAATTATGAAACACTTTCCCCATTAAGCTTAAATAGAGAAATAAATATGCCCTGTGGAGTATAAGTGGGATTTTCCACAATAGAGCAAAGCAAAGATGGGCACAATGCAGGTACCTGTTTGGGTAGAAGAATATAACCAGAGTAGGCATATCCCTTCTAAAAAAAGGAATATGCTCTTTAGAAAGAAGATCATAGACTTTGTAGAAAAGAAAGAGAAGCTTCAGAGAGGTGTTGTTCAGGGGACTTGCATGCATTGAAATCCCATTGACAACTGGCAAGGTCCCACATCCCACTGTGACAAACAGCTAATTTTTTTTCCCCCTAGGTTCTAATTGCCTAGAGAGCAGACTTAAAATTAGAGCTTACCATAATTTTGGATTCCAGGAAGGTTGTGATGGCATGGGGTGAGAATTGGGGGGTAAAGAAGGGAATCACATGATTGTACAGAGTTACTGTGGAATGGCTAGGGATTGTTCATCAAATCCTTCTGTGAAGCTATTTCAGTGTTCCACCCGCACCACCTCATGGAGATAAAAGGCTGTAAATCTATATTTCCCTTCACCGCAGCACCATAAGCTTCTGTCCTGCACTCAGTCTCCCCCAGCTTTAAAAACCACCCACAGGGCACCTGTGTGGCTCAGTTTAAGCATCTGAATCTTGATTTTGGCTCAGGTCCTGATCTCAGGGTCATGAAATAGAGGCCCAGGTGAGACTCAGCGCTCAGCACAGAGTCTGCTTGCCCCTCTCTTTCCCCCTCTGCCCCTCC